TAGTGTGTCATTTTATCAGTTGTGTAGGCAACTGAAAGCAACTGGTTTTAAACGGAAAACATCAAATCTTGTTAACTACCACTGAAGTATGGTGCCTGTTTAGCACAACTAACACCAAGCTGTAAGAGCAATTGTGAGATACTATTTGTTCACTAAACTGTCATAGACTAGATTATCATTTAGACCTCTAGTCCTTTAACATTAAGCCACATGCTTCACAACTAGAGCCTGAGAAGGATCAAATTTAAAGTGAAGTTCACAGTGTGAATGGCAAGCTTTCCAACAATCACAACATATACTCATGTCACTTTAAAATGTTTCATATCATACCCTGCAGTGTAAACAGTATATTTCAATATCCCTTAAAAAAAAATGAGAAGGAGTGCAATCCATGAAGCAGCACCAGATATTGGATTAATCTCAAACCCTCTCCACACACATGGCGATGCCCATCCCTCCTCCAATGCAGAGGGATGCCACTCCCTTATGTCCTCCGGTCCTCTGGAGTGCGTGCAGCAGAGTCACCAGCACTCTGCAGCCAGACATACCGATGGGATGGCCCAGAGAAATCGCACCGCCACTCACATTCACCTGAGGAGTGAAAAAAAAGGTTAAGGTAACTTCAGTATGAACGTGTAGATTAAATGACATGTAAATCTGCCAAATTGACTCCTGCGATTAATATACATTTCTAAAAAAACATTTGTTTTTTTGGCTGCTTATGGCCTGAGGGAAGAAAAAAAAGATCACAACACTAGTTGTATGGTGGTCTACCTCTAGGCCCCTTGGCTTTTGTGGGATAAAGATGATTTCAAATTTTAAAACTCATATGATAACATAATGAATTACCTTGTCTACATTCAGGCCAAGCTCTTTGACCACAGCAATGGACTGGGCAGCGAATGCTTCATTGATCTCAAATAAGTCCACCTGGTCCAGCTGCCAGCCCGCTTTCTCAACCTAACAGAGAGCAAGGCCACAAATTAATATTACAAACAAATTACCATTTTTTTTCATTCTGTGTTACATTTAATTGCTGCTGACGTCTCACCGCTTTCCTGATGGCTGGAATTGGTCCAGTTCCCATGATAGACGGGTCAAGACCAGCTTGAGCCCACGATACGATTCTGGCCATTGGTTTAATGCCACGTCTCACAGCCTCTGACTGGCTCATTAAGACGGTTGCTGCTGCTCCATCATTTATACCTAAAGCAAGAAAGATAAAAGCAGCTTTGTGCATCCTAATAATGTTAATTATGAATTCAGATAACAGTCAGTCGTTGGCAGACAGCAGCATCTACGCCATCTTGATGTATGTCAGAGATCATAAGCAACAACTCTCGAACCTGAGGCGTTTCCTGCGGTGACAGTGCCACTGCTGTCCTTGATGAAGCACGGTCTGAGTTTGGACATGCTGTCCATGTTGCTGCCATGGCGAGGAAACTCATCCATCTTCACCTCCACCGGACCTTAAGGGGTGAGAAAAATGTTTCAGTGCATACACACCAAGGATAGAGGAGACAATTTCTCTGAAATACACTTGGATTATAAATCCCTCAAATACTTCTTGCCTTTTCTGGATGGCACCATAATGGGGACAATCTCCTGATCAAAATGTCCTGCTTTCTGTGCAGCCTCTGTTTTGTTCTGGGACTGGACAGCAAACCGGTCCTGCTCCTCTCGACCGACACCCCACTGCTTCGCCACATTCTCAGCTGATAAAAAAAGACATGAAGATTACACAATGTCACCATACAACATAAACCACTGGCTGCTCCGTGGAAATATCAAACAGATCTAGACCTGTGATGCCCATGTGGTAGCCGTGAAAGGCGTCTGTCAGGCCGTCAGCCACCATTGAGTCCTGCAGGGAGGCATCGCCCATCTTCACTCCTGCTCTCATTTGCAGTGTGTGAGGAGCCTGAGGTGTCAAAGGAAACTCAGTTAAGACCTCCTGCTATCAAGGATCTGTCTCTATTCTTATTTTCAGACACTTCACCAAGGGACACAATAATTTTTATCATAGCTGCAACAATTAGTCAATTAATCAATTATCAAATAAGGCTGGGGGGTCAATTATTTTTTAATTTTTCTTTAGTTTTTCATTCACCCGAGTCAAGACACCCAATACCCAATACTTTTTTTGATACCAAAAATTTTACATTTGAGAACCCAAATGCTAAATGTTGTGCAAACACAAGCAAACACACAAGAACGTGCACACTGTATATGATCCGTCTCTATCTGATCCATTAATGAGTAAATAAGATGATCAATCTGGTCAAACCTTTAATGCCAACTTTTAGTGCTTGGCATCTGTCGATATTCAGTGTTACTGAAATTACACATTTCAGTCACTACCTAAAAAGTACTGAGGTTCCACAACCAGATACTCCCTTATCCACCTATTTTCAATTTATGTCACACCCTGACAGTATTTTGTCTTGTAACCTACCCTGCTCATGCTCTCCATGCCCCCTGCCACCACCACAGTGGACTCTCCTGCCTGGATGGACTGAGCTCCCAGACACACAGCCTTCAACCCAGAGCCACACACCATCTGGCAGCTCCATGCTGGCACAGGGTAGGGGATACCTGCCCCAACGCTGGCCTGTCGTGCTGGGTTCTGACCACTACCTGAAGAAAATACAGAGAAGGTGAACACCAATAAGAGAAAGTCAGTTTGAGGGACAAGCAAGTAGAAAAATGTTACAAAAGAGAGGTCAGGTCAAGCTGACATTGCCCAACAGAACTGTTAACATGAAACATGAATATGGGACCTCTGCCACACATAAGCAAACTTTGTTCTACCTGCTGTTAGGACATGTCCCATGATAACCTCAGAGACCTCTTCTGGCTTCACACCAGCCCGGTTCAGAACATCCTTGATCACCACTGAACACAGGTCATGCACAGGCACCGTGGACAGAGCACCATTCAAGGACCCTGTGTAAAAATGGGAGGAACATATATGATCAGGAATGTCAACCCACTGCTACTATGTTCAACCTCCATACATGGATGTGTAGTCGAGCAGGAGTCACCTGTCCTCCAACATTACAGAATGAACAGTTGCTACCACTGAGAAGGTTAATCTCTAAATAAATTCTTCAGCATAATCAATTAAACTTTCAGGTCATTTGGAAGGAAAAAAAGGGTTTTACAACTTTTAAAAGTGATCATACGATATGTTATATTATTCTACATTTTTGAATTTTGACATACTTGGCAGTAAACCTGTTTCTGTTTCTGACGCTGATCGTAGGCCAATTGTAGCCAATGACAGGAGGCTCGTGTGCCGTGGCCCTATGACGAGCCAGCCAATCACCGGCCACAAAAGACTCCGGACACTGGAGCGGACCAATCAGAGCTCTGCAATACTCGGCGTATTCAACTAAATAACATGAACCACTTTACTTAATTACAAGAAGACAAATTCAGCAGTAAAGGCAGCTCATATGACACAATTAAGTACAATGAGACGTAATAGTTACAGAAATAAATAATTACCAGTGCAGCTAATTTGACAACGAGCTACAGTGAAGTGTAAAGTATAAAGTATAAAGTAGCAATGTTAGCGCTACAAACTGCTTTTAATGAATGAGTGTGCTACGTGAGGAGTATTTGACGTTACCAATTGGTGTCCTTGCAGCAGCGACGATGGCAACAGGCTCGGTGTTCATGTTAATATACGGCTGGCTGGAGTTTGAGTCCTTCCTTCAGAGTGCTGTTCCTCTCTGTCCACACTGCACCGTGCTCCCTGTGCTGTTGACACCGTGTAACCCGTCAGCTACGCACTGGTGGTGGTTCTGCCTAACTGTAATTGATGGGAAAAGGTACCACAGCGCCACCATGTGTCGTGGAGGAAATATTCATTCATAAAATGTCACTTGGCATTTAGCAGATTATAAACTCCCCTTTAACATGTAACATAAACATACACATACACAGTATATCACATTGTATTTGCAATTGTTACTTTTTATACTATTTTTCACATTACATTTAAGTCATTACACATACATACCGGTCTATATATAAATATGAATTCCAAATATACTGTATTTATTTATTGTGCCACTTTGATCTGGACTATTGCATGCACATTTATGCACACTGGTTAGGGCACCATACTTCATACAGCTACCTTCTTTCTGTATATATACATTTTTCTAGTTGTCTGTATACTGTTTTTTTATACCTCTTTGGTATTTAACACTTAATTTCTGTCCAAAAATGAACTTTTACTAACATGTCACTCAAATTACATTAATCTGAAATTTGTGTTAATGATTTCCCATTAGACATCTGCATTGTGGGTCACAGAAGACAAAAAAAAATAAAAAATTAATTCAGCTGTTTTTCAGACTGATCATTCCTTTTACATATGTATGCTTCAGCCAAGGTGACTGATTATATGTTTATGTAAACTAACTTTTCATACTAATGTACTGATAGCTAGTAATAATGGGTTTCACTCTATAGTATTAAAAATCTTTATTGGTATTTGGTCAGTACATGAAAAGGACTGAAGTCAGAATAATATGAACATCGCATATAAACTACTCACAATTCAACAGAATCTTTTGAACAAAATTTTTTTGTCAATGAAAAATTAAAATTGTATTTAACAAAAAAACAAAAAAAACAAACAAACACAGGCCAACATCTAAAAATGACCTTGAATATTGCGAAGCTAGTGTAATTCAGTGATTTTACTGACTTTTGACGATGAGTTACAACACCAGATGCCTGATTTCAGTGTCAAGAGCTCAAACAAGCATAGACGTGCTCAAATAAACAGCAGAATGAAACGTACTAGTTTTAAATCATACATCCACGCAATTCAAATCTAACATTAACCCTTTCCTGTTATATCCCCATTTAGCAACACAAATGTGACAGAGGCATCACGATAGGCAAAGGGGAGGAGGGTGAAAACAAAACGTCTTGGACAGCAGCGCTGTGTTACAGACTATGCAATTGTTGCCTTGTTTGTATATTGTATAAAAAAAAAAGGGAAAAGACAGTACACGTCAAGGTACATTACAAAACTGCACCGTCGCTCGTGCTGGAGTCCAGGCCATTCTGAGCATGCCGTGACCCTGCAGTCCTGGTGCCCTTGGTCACCACGGCAGCCTTATCCTCATGGGGGTCGGTGGTGGAGTCTGTGTCATTCGAGTGCTGAGTCAGTGATGTCTCGCTACCTGTCGGAGAGTCCACACTCTCGTACCCTGCACTCAGCTGGCTCCCGAAACCCACAGGTCCTCCAACTCTCCCAGCAGCAGTCTGACTCCCTGATGCCTCCTCTGAGTGGTTGGACAGTTTGGTCTCAGCTTCACCAGGGCTGGAGACCATGGGGGACATGGGAAAGTCTTCCTCGGTGCTGCTGACCTCCCGGTAGAGGCTGGGTGTAGTGGTCTCGCTCCTCTGGGATGAGTTGCCATTGCTTGGTCCATTGGAGACCCTCCCGTAGTCTTTGCCCATTGGTTCAGAGGGTGCGCTGGCCTGCTCGGGCTGGGTGGACGGTTCAGCTGATGAGCTGGAAGCAGTGGGTGAAGTCCTGCTGGGTCCAGCCAAAGCCCCCTGAGTGTGAGTCAGCTGCTGTCGCGTCTCTTTCAGCTGCTGCTGCAGGACGAGGATGGTGCTCTGCATCCCCTCTACCTCCTCGTCTAGCTGGATGATAAAGTCATTCAACTCTGGGAGGTGACGGAGATCAGGAACACAAACAGAAGAAAGTCAAAAATGAAACAGTAGCATGTTAAAAATTTTACATGACAAGCAGTCACTTTGTAAAGTGAAAGCGGGCAGGCTGTGAGGTGTGAATGCCGCTCATGTTCTCACCGTCTTGACTGCTCTTGAGCTCCTCACTGTACTTTTTCTGCAGGGCCAACTCAGCCTCCAGCTGGGCGATGCGTCCCTGGGACAGCTGCCTGCCCAACTCCTGGTTTTCCTGAATCAGCATTCGACACTTGGCCATCAGTTTCTTCCCCGTTTGGCTGTAAGGGAAACAAGTCTCACATCACACAGTGAACCAAGAGACAAACAACAGGCAAAGAGATGCCGTTGATCTGTTCCAACTGTCTGACCCACTTCCCAGTTTGCCAAGGGTCAACAGAAACTCTTCAACCAGGCCATCCCTATGCGACACTAGTCACAACACAATTTTCATTTTGTCTATTAGACTCCAATGCAAAATAAAATGATCAGCAACCAACTGAGACAGATCTGTACAAATAAATATAAAATTATTTTCTTGCAAAAGTCCAAACTGACTTTTCAGACTATATTAAAAATTGGATTATAAATTCATACTCAACATGTAAAGTCCTCACTGAGGCTACAAACCCAAACAAGCAAGCTAGACCCACATTTCTATGGAACTAAAGCACCCGATGTTGCACTGTAACTTGTTCACCATTTTGCATAATGAAGAAAAGTGAGCACTTCAAAAAATAACAGTAGCAATTCTGTCGCTACCAAAGTCTCAAATTCAAATGAACTCGCCACATTACTGATTGTGAGGAACAAGCAGAATAGAAAATGTAACAGAGCAGAGTAATATCAGAATGACACACTACAAGAAACCTATAATTTAAATATCAACACTACTATGTGTAGTAAGAAAGGAAATGTGCACTGCAGAACCAGGCACTGGTTTTGTGTAGTCATCACTTTAAATACACAAGAGCAGGCGTTTCAACAGTTGATTCAAATTACTGAGGGAGCTGCTTTCTCAACTTTACAACAGGTCAAAGAATCCTGACACCTGTTCATTTTACATTAGCAATTATTGTGAATATGCTTTGAAGAAGCCCTAATCAAGATGCTGAATTTGCACACAAATAAGACATACAAATTATTTCGAACCATAGTTAACTTCAAGCTACAAATGCCTATGAAAGTCATCTGGCCAAAGCACACTGAAATATTAACAATAATGGCAAATAATTCAGCAGCTGTACCATCTGAAAGCAGAAGTCATTAAACTGGTGATAATTATTTCAAACTAGCTCAGAAAACTGACCAAAAACCATATATGTTAATTTTAAAAGTTTCAATTATGCACTGCATATTTTTAGTTCTTTGTATGTACTACTTTTCTTCTAAATTAGTAGTTAGCAAAACCCTTCATTTATCTAAGATGCTGGGGAGAAATGTATTTTTAACTGTCAATAGGCTGTATGTACACTACCAGCTCAATTCTCACTGCCTCAAGTGTGAGTGACCAGAGTATAAATTTGTTTTTAAAAACAGGAAAATACAACACAGTGCGCTCTTATTGTGAAAATAGTGGCTAAAGATCTGTGCCACAGTGGTGAGAAAGAAAAGTCTAACCTGCTATAGGTGTAAGTGGCTGAGGGAGAGATATTGAGGTCAATCACAAAAATACACAGAAATACAATAAATACATTCTCATCAACTCATAACATGACTTGTTAGACATTTGCATTCACAACTTGAAACAGGACTCAGATCACCTACAGCAGTGTGTTTCAATATGTATCCAAAGAACTAAGCATTAAGCTTAACTCATGATTAAAGTGCAAATTTTATACAAATGTAAACAATCAAGCCAATTGTGCTTCTTGGTTCATGCACACACACTGCAGTAAGTGTTTGTTTCAGAGAAACAAGAGAAAGAAATTAAATGCCAATAAAAAGAAACAAGTCACAAAATAAAAACATGTAAATACACTCTACCGTGAGCGGGCCCATGTTCAAAGACACAGGCGACTGGACTCTCATGCCTGAACCATAGTCCCTTGTGGACCGAGGATCTGGCTCCACCACAGTCTTAACATCATTTCTAGTGGCTCTTCCCCCCCGACGTCTTACTTTTAAATCCTAGAACTTTCCTCATGTTACTGCAATGTGTCTAGACTGTCCAAAAAGTCTTTACGTTTCTCAGGCAGACTAGCAGGTATGTGTGTGGTGTAATCCACAGTTAAATGTCTTTATAAACCAAGTATGGGAATTGTCTTTAAAATGTTCAATTGCTGTTTTAGGCTAGGGATGCTCCCTGCCTGACTCAACCTCCACCATAACCCCCCTATTTTATGTGTGAACTGTCTGGTTTGAGCTGAGGGGGTGGGGAGGGCATATCCGTGTCGGGAAGTGAGTGACCACCTCTTCAGGAACAGTCCGGACTCCTTCAGGCCCTTGGACGGTGAGGGGATACGAGGGGAGAGAGCTGAAACACAAGTGTCACCTGACCATACTGTCTTTTCACGTTAGGTTATGTGATATGTAGCTGGCACAGTGCAAGAGTACAAAAACAGTTTTGTTTTGCAGTGACTGGCTTTCTGTAAAGTCTGAGTCTCGTGGTGAGTACAGCATGTGTCAGCCTTCCCCCCCACCATTGTTCCTGCATGCCTGCAGTGAGAGTGAGGGTGGGGGGCGTGAGGAAGTCTTGACTTTTTTTTGAGGGGGGGAGTTATTTTGATTGTCTTTACCTATCAGGTGTAAATTTCCAGGCACTCAGTTCATTTTGGGCCTGCTCCAGTTTGTCTTTAGTCTGTTCCAGTTCAGCCTTCATTTTGAGGAAAAACAAGTTGATGGCTGGGTCCACCATGGATGACCGCAGTTGGGCCGCACTCGGCTGTTGGACTTGCTTGAGGTACTGGATCTGGGTCTGCAGGACAAAACAAACAGGTGTTAGTGACTGGTTAAGTGTAGCACATTTCTACTAATGAAGAACTTTTGATTGTTATGAAAACTAATCCTTTAGCTTGACCTGTGTCCAGTTGATGGAGCAATATTAACCTATTTCTCCAAAATCAGATTAAGCAAGATATTCTGGTTCAAAAATCCAGCTATATTTGAAAAGGTATGAGGTGGCTTTTCAATACTACGATCAACCAGTTTTGAACGGTACCTGGATTTAAATTCAGATCATTTCAAATAGAATACTTTGGTGAATAACTATAACAAGCACTCTTGTATTTAATCAAAAGGTAATAAATTCTGTAATGAGAGGTATTGTTAGACATGAGCTGCTTTCCTGGACACACCCAGAAAAGAATTTTCATTCAAGGAAGATCTGCAAGCAACAACAAACAAAAACTCACCTGTCAAAGTCATAGTTATGCAGACCTCAAATTCCCACAGAACTGAATTGAATACATTTACGTAGGAGGCAAAAGGTACAACTGATATGCCTCAAAACACAACAGCCAGTTCAGCATTTCGGCAATTCAGTGGAAGATGGTCTATGACCCTTTACAGATCAGTGGTTAAAAGAAAAGTGACTGCTTGGTTCCAAGGTTAAAACCTTTCCAACCTTGATCTGGCAGTGCAGCTCACCTCAGCTGCCCTATAAGAATGGCATGCACTGCCATAAAGCCACAGGGTGATCCACTGAGCTGTCAATCTGATAAAAGCAAAGGATGCCCTCCTTGGCACATGAATGAATATAAGGTAGAGTACAGTACTGGAATGATGTCAATTAAAAGATAAATTGTCTGTCAGGAAAGTAGAGAAAAATATGACTGCCATTTTACATTAATTAGTGTACGAAACACTACTGATGAGCTGTTGTTTAGGACACAGGATACTTTTCTAAGTTTTTTGTCAAGAAGGCATGTTTAACAATTCAGCCATTTGTGACTTGCAATTGTCAGCACTAGCATTAAACCCACAATCAATGTATCAAAAAATAAAAATAGAATAGAATCTGATTAATCAATAATTAAAGTAACGGTTGGATGCAGCCCCAGGATGGCTGGACTTCACTTAGGACTAAACAAAAACAGCCAAGTGTCATACATTATAACTAATTCATAGAAGGTTAGTGAGGATAGAGCATAAGTAACTACAGAGAACATAGCAGTTCAGTCATACTCCAGGAGGTGCCAAATGCACCAGCGATTCTGTTAGAAGTGCTGAACATATACTTAAAGGACTCCATCAAGTGCTCTCCTTCTGAGACGGATAAAAACTGGATTCCCCAAAATCATATTCAAAACATTAAGAAATCAAAGGAGTAGATACATACTGTGCACTCTTGCATCTCCTGCTCCTTGGTGGCAAGTCGCATGACCAAGATGTTCTCCCTGCGTGCAGACTCCTGCTGCTGCTGCTTTAGCTTTTCCTCTGACTCCTTCAGCCCTGTTACATCATTGGCTAAGACAGTGAAGAGGGGCAGAAAAGCAAATGTATCAACAGAGAATCCCCTTTCATTAACAGCCAGATTTAGTGATATAGTGTGCAAAGTCTAGTGATTATTTGCTGTCAAAGATGCTGGCAAGAATAGAGAAATAATGTTTATGTTTTATTAGCTTACACTTATGTAATAGCAGATGTACTTACAACATAGCTCTGCATATTTGGCCTCCAGGACCTGGACATATGCTTCATGCTGTTTCCATCTAAGAGGGGCAGAAGATGTGTAAACGTTAACTGCTCCAATAGACCAGGTTTTCCCAAAATATAATTACTCTCCAGTTGCAGAGCCGTTATCTACCTTGTACACAACTCCTCTCTGGTCAGGGTCTTCATGTCAGATTCACTGAGGCGAACCTGTGAAAAAGAAAACCAAGGACTCGTTAGATGAAGAAGCCCATCCATTAACTAAGCTCTTGTGCAAACACGAAGAGGCTCGTGACACACAACAAATAAAATGCTTAAGCAAGAAAAGACACTCACCTTCTTGGGTAGAGGCTCCTCGTTGGTCATTGTGAAGTCTAGAAATAAATATGACAGAAAATCATCATTAATCACAGCTTGATGTCGTGTGTTAAAGCGACTGCATCTTCTTTAGCTGTAACGCGTTGGCTGTTTGTCCACACGCAGTGAAATATGACCTGTATGACAACTTTACTAAATTGCTACTAAAGAGGTAGTTTCCCGCTTATAAATGAAAATGTGTGTGACAACCAAGTTAACTACCTGGCCGACCATATAAAAGTTAACATTACCAGGTTAATAAGAGCTGTCGATCCTAATTTGCTAGCTGGTTTGGCAGGCAGCAGCGATGGATAGCAAGGAATAGAAAATAAGCTAACCAAGGTTAACCCTCGGCTGCTAACAACATTTAGCATCCGCTGGCAAAATAAATAGAGGCTATGAAACTAAGGTAATAGAATAATAATATTTTCTTTATGTTCACTCTGGCAGCACGCAATTCTTGGCTCTGTTTTCGGCTCCTTGTTATCACAAAATGGCGGTGAAGGAAATGACTCCCTCCCTTGCGCTCCTTTTCCTGAAACTAGCGGGCTCTTGGCAGCAGATAACAGGCCTTCAGCCGTCATAAAACACTTACCAGGCCCGTTTCTTTCGATGTTTCTGGAACCCCTCGGCTTCAATGTTTTTTTGTAAGACGCAAAATTACAACTACGTTCAGAAATTTGCTGTAAATTTATATGTAGTTTGCTCGCTTCGGCGTAATCACCATCATCTTCCTCACCCTAGGCAGGACAGAATGGCTCTGGCCGCGCTGCTGCTACTGCAGAGTACGACCACAGAGGAGGGAGAATAAACAGAGCTCTCACTCCGCGGCGATTTCCAAATCCTAAAACGTGGTTGAGACATGCAAGACATATCATGGCAAGTACTTTACTTTTTACTACATGTATTTGACAACTTTAGTTACTAGTTATTTTAAGATTCAAATAATACATAAACACAGGAGTTAAAAAATACAACACACTTTTAATAATCAAGATGTATAGTCGTAGTAGTAGTAGTAGTAGTAGTAGTAGCTGTACAGTTGTGATCCCCTTTCAAAAAAAAAAAAAAAAAAGCAGTGTCTCCTTGTTGTGTTTCAGTTTCCCGAGTTGTTTTAAGTTCCACCATAAATTGTAAATATTTGCTGGTTCCTTAATCTCCTATCATATTAAACTGATATCTTTCGATTTTTAACCGTGGGCTGGATGAAACACGCAATATAAAGCTGCCACTTATGGCTCTGGGTAAATATAATGGACATTTTGACAATTTTTAGTGACACTTTATAAACCGAATGATTAATCAAGAAAACAATTTGATCTGCAGATAAATCCGTAATGATAATCACTAGTTGCTCCCTTAGTGTAGTTTATTGTGGTAGTTGGAAAATTGTGAACACTTTGTTCACTGAAAAACTGAAAATGTTATCACAAATATTGAGGTCTCATTGTCTTAAGTCTCGCGTGATTCATTTGCCTCAACATAGACGATCTCTGGCATTGCCGCCGATGTGGTAGAAGATATGTTCACGTGATTCTTTACTGTTAGTTTTGATAATTATGCTAAATTATGTAGCCTACATGTACAAATGTGTTTACAGTTATTTTTGCTATATTATATTTGATTACGTACTGTATACCTCAGACTAATGCCATATGCTTCAAACCGGAAGTAGCATATAATTTAAATTAATGTGCCGAAGCACATTATTTCTATAATACAATATGCTTCGTTCATATGATCTAATACACTTTTATTAAGGCTACAGAAAACCAACCAGAAGGGTGTGTTAAAGAATGTTTATAGAAGAGGGATGGGTGAAATTCATATTCTAATATGCTGGAATGTATTTCAATATATCTCGATGTTTTAATCGCACATTCAATTATATATTTCTATCGATATTTCTGAGAGGAATCGTGGCTTCAGTTGTCGCAGCAACGTGCATCTAACTCCTGCACACTCTCATAAACACCCCCATTTGACGATAATGGTACGGTCGACTGCGCCGTCAAGTTGAAGCTGCTCAGTTCAAGGGCAGTTAGCATTTAGTCTACCCTGTCCTGTGAGCACTATCATGAACATGCTTTGCAGAGTTGGTCAAATACGCAGGTAAAACTCACATCAACTTACCAATTAGTGCCATTACTCTGTTCACAATGCACAGTGGATGAGGGCAGCTGACCCTTGCTAGCAGCGGTTGTTCATGAACTTCAGACAGTTTATTCAGAGCTAACAGTTAGCTAGCAAGGATGCTAACTTAGTTTAGCAGCTCAGCTAGGTTAGCCTGTGGCGCACCTAATGTAAGATTTTATTTAATTATCGCATGGTAATGCATTCACGGGCTTCTGTGAGGTTGTGAATTGAATGTTGTGATATTTGGACACACCTGTTCATACATAGCTAACTCGGTGCTACAAGCTCATTAAATATCTGACCAACAAACGTCACTATAGGTGGATTCAGAAACAGCATGAGGCATGTAGGTCACTTCGCGACAGTTGCTTTAACTCAAACAAACAGTTAACTGATAGCCCTGCCTGTGCTAGGCTATCTTGGGCTAATATTGTGTAATTTGAATGACACAAGCATCACTGATAGCCAAGTTAATTTTGAAATCAAAAGTTAGGAATTTTATCTGATTAGACATAGATGAAAGCCAGCGTCTCCTGCGTGTTTGCTTCTTCAAACCTGTTTAAAGCCTTTGTGGTAATGGTATGTATGGCAAGTTTCCCCTGGTCTGTTTCAGGTGTGCAGCCAGCCTCAGCCAAACTATAAACCAGGTAGCTGCAGCGAGGCAGAAGCACACGCTGCCTGACCTGACCTACGACTATGGTGCCCTGGAGCCCCACATCAATGCAGAGATAATGCAGCTGCACCATAGCAAGCATCATGCCACATATGTTAACAACCTCAACATTACAGAGGAGAAATATCAGGAGGCACTGGCAAAGGGTACAAACGCAAAGCTGTATGAAATAATCAGCATATTTCTTCTGTAAGATCTGATGTCTTCTTATTCACTTGGACGTTATTTGTCTTCTATTTAGGAGATGTGACCGCACAGGTTGTCCTCCAGCCTGCTCTGAAATTTAATGGAGGAGGCCATATTAACCACACCATCTTCTGGACAAACCTCTCTCCAAATGGTGGAGGCGAACCACAGGGTAAGGCAGAAACATATATAAACAGCTTGTCTTCTTTCAATTTTCCTACATTGGTTTGTTGTGCATGTTGTAGCACCATAAAGCTTTTAGCTTGTTGCTTTTGGGTTTCCAACGGCCACATAGAGTGTATGGTTAAAACTCAAAGCCCTTACTAAGCCACCACTATAAAACATAGCTTTTCCGAGTGAACAGACTCAGACAACCTCAAAAGTGTACAACATCCTCAGCACAAAATAGAAGCAAGCCAAAATAAATGAGTGGCTTGTTAAGCACACAGTAAGCTATAGTTAAGTATGATTTAGAGAGAATTTTGCATACAAAACCATAATTAGAATGAGTTTTGATATGGGACAGACTTTCATAATGTGACCTGAAACATGGCTCCTGTGTTTCACATCAACCTGATAACACCAAAAGTTGGTGATATCTCAGCATTGTGTTACACTCAGGTTATTTTATTTAGTCATTCTGCCCCCTAGTGGTTAAAAATGCTGCGTTAACAGATTATCTGGCAACTTCATTTAACATGCATAGTATTATCTGGCTAATCTAAAAATACATTTTCCTTGTTGCAGAAACATTAAGAAGGATGATTTTCAGTTTGTAGAGACTGACAGGGAAGCTCTCTTCCACATAATGTAGAAAATATAAACAACTTCATGTAAAGTAAATTTACTGGAAAAGCTTTCTGATTTAGTTTCTTCCTTTTTAATTTCTAGCATGATAGCATGTGTCTGTTTCACCTCTTGTAGGGGAGCTAATGGAGGCCATCAAGCGGGACTTTGGCTCCTTCCAGAAAATGAAAGAGAAGATGTCTGCTGCTACTGTAGCAGTGCAGGGCTCAGGCTGGGGCTGGCTGGGCTATGACAAGCAGAGTGGAAGGCTTCACATCGCTGCTTGCGCTAACCAGGATCCTCTGCAGGGGACAACAGGTCAGTGAAAAACAACTATGAGCAACTGAAAATCGATTTTCTCCCTACGTGCATTCATATTTCCCCTCTCACTGTTAAATGCCACAGATGAAATAGAGTTGTCTGAGAAATGTCTTCTCTTTTCTGACCCTCAGGCCTCATCCCTCTCCTTGGTATTGATGTATGGGAGCATGCCTACTATCTTCAGTACAAAAATGTGCGGCCGGACTATGTTAAGGCTATATGGAATGTAATCAGCTGGGAGAACGTGTCAGAGCGTCTCCAGACCGCCAAAAAGTAGAATCTAGCCCTCAAACATCCCCAACAACACCTCATCTTACCCTGGACCTGGATCGAATAGTAGTTGCAAATAATTCTTAGTTTTAAACTGCATGAATTATCAGTTGTGATGTCTTTTGAATTCACACATCCAGATGGTCAGTTGCATTAAACTTGATTAAACTAACTGTGAAATACTTTCTGTATTGGTGCAGGTTATATTGAGTTGAAACAACTTAAAAAAAAAAAAAAAAAAAAAAAAAAAAAAAATTTGCAAGTGCTTTAATCTCAGGTCTGCTCTCACCACTCACTTCAAAGCGCACAAAAAAGGTCACCTTTCACATTAAGGCTGGCTTTTGTTAATCACACCCAAATATCGGCTGCCATACTAGTTGTCAGATAACCAGAGTGTATATTCAGTGAGTTGTTATTGTCACAATATAATCAGACAATGTTGCAGTTCATGTTTTTGATGTATTATAATAAAATTATAGGATTTCAGTTGTACAAGCTTGAGTCCTCATTTTTCACTTCCTGTATGCAGTGGGTATTCCAAGATCCAAAGATACTTTTTTAAAGTAAAAAGGTTCATCAGCAAGGGTCATCAGTGGGTTGAGCAGGCGCTCCATATGTAGAGGCTACAGTCCTTGCTGCAGTCGGCCCCGGTTCGAATCCCGCATTGGACGGCCCTTTACTGCATGTCATTCCCCCTCTCTCTGCCTCCCCATTTCCTGTCTCTCTCTACTGTGCTATCATAAAGGCATAAAAAGCCCCCCAAAAAAAAAAGGTTCGTCAGAGAATATGAAAATATACAGTGATTGTAGTTGCAACAGAGACCAGACTGTTCTGTTAAGAGGACAATAAAAGGCATTTAAGTGTTTTAACAAATCATGGAATTACAAAAAAGGCAAGTTCAACACAGTTTTTTACCAAATTTGGTGAGGCATTTAAGTTAATTGAATTTAAGAAACAAGTCTACTTCAAAGATTTCTCCGTGGCAGTAATTCTCAGCTTTCATCTCCTATGGCACTGCATGATTGCTATCAACAAGTTTTTAAAGGATATTTTCTCTTCTAAACCACAGCCAAGTTGGCTTTGGTCCAATCAAAAGATTCAGGTCTTAGCAGAAAAACTGTGCTTGGTGAGAAACACTGGCCTCGCTGATAATGTCGGTTCTAGTTAACGACATGCAAACGTGTGTATTTGGAAGACATTAAATACTATCTATGACATATACAGTGTAGTCAGCACTTAAATTAGTTAAAGAATATAGTAGAGTGAATTATATGATCTGCTGTGCTGTGCTGTTTTTTTTGTTTTTTGTTGCTTTTTTTTTTTACAGAATTACCAAAAGAGGGCAGTGTTTTCCAAGCTTTACCTCTGGAGATGCCTCTTGGGTCATTGAGTTGTATGTGCCCATTTTTCTATACAAAAAAAAAAAAAAATCACTATCAAATGCATTAGAATAACAAATTTATGGGAATTATACAGTCGTGGAATTAGGTCAGACATGGACATAGAAAAGTCTGAGTTAATTAACTTCTTCATGCGTGCAATTCACAGGATATTAGAGGGCTTGAGCAGTACTCTGTGTGATTAGTTTGTATGTTAAATAAGCAAGATACCTTCAAATGAATATCTAGGACAAGTTAACTGTCTTTACACAAATGGCTTCCAGTTCTTCCATCTCATTTCATCCAAGTAGCTCCTCATTCCTGTCAGTGATTAGGGCTTATTAGTTTGCCAGTGGGAATGTCACATTCCAGAGATCTCTCCCTTTTTGTTGAGGTGGTGTCATGATGTAGAGTTGAACTGATTTTCAGTGGACACTGTGAGTTCAAGCACATGGTTACCAGACTCCAGTCTTGAGGTTGGAACCAACTGCCTTTTGATTGTATTGAAATAGCCTATGTATAATTTTTGATGGGATTGGCTAATAAAAATTCAAACATGTCATTTAAAAAAATTAGATTTAAATGCTGCTACATGGATAATGGTTATTAAATCTGACCTACAGGCCTTTTGGGACTTGTCATATATATCAAAACTTCTGATGTGGCAGAAATGCTGTGGGAACACAAAGTAATGACAGCTGACTTCAGATCGGCTTTTGGAAAGAACGACAAAGAATTGGTTCAAATTTATCAGAGCCATAAATACAAGCGCACAAACTTAAAGTAGTTTAATTTGGGAGACAATGCCAGCCTTTAGAAACAGAAGTCACCCCATTTATAAGATGATGGTTTGTCTAAATGTGGCCAACTTTTGCTGTGTAAAAGTTTGGGTGTGCCAAAAATTATTTCCCTCTTCCACAACTCATAAAAAAAGATGGAACTGCCTCAGGATAGAGTTTCTTTAACCTCTGGAAGGGGAACGAGGAAAATATTGGGGAGAAAAAAAAACTGAGTTAAACTCCTCTGAAATCTGTCTTTCTTCTTTCTCCCTTCTCTCTGTTTCACTGTAGCGCTAGTTCCTAAACACTGCAACTACACCCTCTTTTCATGCAAAAATCTGAAAGGTCCATTTGCACACCAACACACACACACACACATACACACACACGTTCAACTTTGTGGTTTATCCCGTTGTCAGTCTCCATCAGGCATCTAAGGAATGTCCATCCAGTGATATTTGGGAGACATGCAGATATCCTAGATGATGTTTTAACACGTTGATAAGTTTCAGATATAACTCTAAAACTTTCATTTTTTTGTTTTGTTTGGATTTCTTCAAACACACTCACACATCAATACACACACTTCATAGGAAATACAAGCTCTGCTGTTGGTGCGGTTTCTCAGTGGGTGCACGCAAGCATGCAATGAGACTCACAATGAGACCATGTGGCTTTGTTTCACATCCTTATTTTCATTGTCAGGGCATAAGCGGTGGAAGTGCGTGCCCATCCTATAGTGTATTCTTTACTGAGTTGAATTATGGTCTGCATTGCCACACACAGAGACTTTTTTCTTGCATAACACTGTTCATGTTGTCCCACATTTCAGAGATAACTGTAGGGTGGTCGAGAGAGAGAGAGAAACATAGAAACCCTAAAAGAGGTCACATTACTTATTCTGACTTGTTGCCATTTTCTTTGCCTTTTTAGCTTTTTGTTGGGTTTTTGAACACTGAAACAGTGTAGAGTACTGACAGACGGATGTGTAGATGGTTGGATGGATTTAAAAGTGGAGTACCTCTCCATCAGTGACTCCACAACCAGGGGCACCCCTGGGGGTACTTGGAAAGATTGTATAGCTTGCTAATTTGAAAGAACATTATACAATTTAATAAAATTGAAAAAATAAAAAGCCTATATCGACATCGCTGAAATGGTGATAAAGCTAATAGTGGATAAATGGTTGAAATACTGCAGGCTAACCAAATTTAGGCTAATGGATTAATGGTTGAGCCATTTAGCTTATGCCACTCAAAGTGTTACTGGTATGATTCAGATTTGACCTAACTGACCTGAATATTGATCATTCATTTGAATGAAAAAGTAACGTTTTGAATAGTGTTAAATAACACCCAGTTTCATTTCAGTTCAAATGATCAGATATGGACCTGAGCTCCACTCCTCTACAGCATTCATACCTGTAGTGAAAGATCAATACTTGTCATTTACCTCTGAGCAATATATCCAAGATATCCAAACTATGCAGAGTTGTTACATGACTCCTTCCTGGATGGAGGTCATCATCTTCAATCTCTCCTCTCCCTACCCATCCCTTGCAGCTTTGTCATCACTTTTCTAGGCTCCACTATCCTCCGCCCTGCAAAGCTGTCCCACATTGTTCCCTGATGTGAATTGCCTGTGCTGTTTGCCCCACACAAGCAGTCATTGTCCCATTTGGACTGGAAAGCCATTAGAAAAAGTGAAGTGTCAACATTAAAGGTAAAAGTTTCCAGCATTCGCCGTCCGTTGTTCCTGGCAGAGAGGGTGACGGAGTTAAATTCAGGGCACCCGTTTGGGTCTGAGCCCAAGTCTGAGTACGTTGGCGATTAATTGAGTTGAAAAAACTTAAAAAAAAAAAAAAAAAAAAAAAATTATTTGCAAGTGCTTTAATCTCAGGTCTGCTCTCACCACTCACTTCAAAGCGCACAAAAAAGGTCACCTTTCACATTAAGGCTGGCTTTTGTTAATCACACCCAAATATCGGCTGCCATACTAGTTGTCAGATAACCAGAGTGTATATTCAGTGAGTTGTTATTGTCACAATATAATCAGACAATGTTGCAGTTCATGTTTTTGATGTATTATAATAAAATTATAGGATTTCAGTTGTACAAGCTTGAGTCCTCATTTTTCACTTCCTGTATGCAGTGGGTATTCCAAGATCCAAAGATACTTTTTTAAAGTAAAAAGGTTCATCAGCAAGGGTCATCAGTGGGTTGAGCAGGCGCTCCATATGTAGAGGCTACAGTCCTTGCTGCAGTCGGCCCCGGTTCGAATCCCGCATTGGACGGCCCTTTACTGCATGTCATTCCCCCTCTCTCTGCCTCCCCATTTCCTGTCTCTCTCTACTGTGCTATCATAAAGGCATAAAAAGCCCCCCAAAAGAGAATATGAAAATATGCAGTGATTGTAGTTGCAACAGAGACCAGACTGTTCTGTTAAGAGGACAATAAAAGGCATTTAAGTGTTTTAACAAATCATGGAATTACAAAAAAGGCAAGTTCAACACAGTTTTTTACCAAATTTGGTGAGGCATTTAAGTTAATTGAATTTAAGAAACAAGTCTACTTCAAAGATTTCTCCGTGGCAGTAATTCTCAGCTTTCATCTCCTATGGCACTGCATGATTGCTATCAACAAGTTTTTAAAGGATATTTTCTCTTCTAAACCACAGCCAAGTTGGCTTTGGTCCAATCAAAAGATTCAGGTCTTAGCAGAAAAACTGTGCTTGGTGAGAAACACTGACCTCGCTGATAATGTCGGTTCTAGTTAACGACATGCAAACGTGTGTATTTGGAAGACATTAAATACTATCTATGACATATACAGTGTAGTCAGCACTTAAATTAGTTAAAGAATATAGTAGAGTGAATTATATGATCTGCTGTGCTGTGCTGTTTTTTTTGTTTTTTGTTGCTTTTTTTTTTTACAGAATTACCAAAAGAGGGCAGTGTTTTCCAAGCTTTACCTCTGGAGATGCCTCTTGGGTCATTGAGTTGTATGTGCCCATTTTTCTATACAAAAAAAAAAAAAATCACTATCAAATGCATTAGAATAACAAATTTATGGGAATTATACAGTCGTGGAATTAGGTCAGACATGGACATAGAAAAGTCTGAGTTAATTAACTTCTTCATGCGTGCAATTCACAGGATATTAGAGGGCTTGAGCAGTACTCTGTGTGATTAGTTTGTATGTTAAATAAGCAAGATACCTTCAAATGAATATCTAGGACAAGTTAACTGTCTTTACACAAATGGCTTCCAGTTCTTCCATCTCATTTCATCCAAGTAGCTCCTCATTCCTGTCAGTGATTAGGGCTTATTAGT